TTTCATTGTCTAGGTACAAAAATATTTAATAGCACTGAGCCAAGGATTATGTCCTGGAAACCCCACTTAATACTTTTTTCCATATTGATGCAAAGTTATTTCTAAGCAGAACCCTGTGGGTGTAGTTGTTCTATTAGTTGCAAATCCACTGTCTGGCTCAAGTTTATCCACAGCCATGAGCATATCATAAGACCTAAATGCCTTACTGAGAACAAAGTTCACTACATCCACAACATTCCTAGTCTACCAAACTAGTCTCTATGTAATAAAAATTTATAAGGTTAGTCTGACATTCCTTCTCCTTAACAAATCCAGGCTGGCAGCATGCTTTTCTAAAGAGTCTCAAATATACTGCTTCATAATCTGTTCTACTCACTTGCTTAGCATAGACATTAAACAAACCAATCTACAGTTTCCTGGGTTTTCTCTCTTTCCATTTCTGAATAGTGGGCTTATGTTTGCTCTTCTCTAGTCTTATAGTACTTTACTAGTTCTCAGGTTGTTTTTTTTAAAGATACATTTAGTACATTTGATATCATGTGCCAGCTCATTCAACATCTAGCCCTGGAAGACTGCGTTTGTTTAAGGTAGCACGGTATGTTCTTATTACACCTTCATCAATCCTGAGCGATATGCCTCCACTTTTCTACAATCATATTAGGAAGGAGTCTCTCCTCTTCTGTGAGGAAGGACAGACACAAAGTAGATGTCAGCAGTTCCTTCTGTTTATGCACTCACCATCTTCCCTGCACAACAAACCATCTTATTGACTCACTTATACTTGCAAATCCCTTATTATATTTTGTATACCTCATCAACCTCATCTTACTCTGAGGTTTAGCTTTTCTCATTTCACCCTGAGGGTATTAAAGTATGACTTTGAATTGCTCTTTAGTTATCAGCTCCTGCTTCCATGTTTCCTTTTTGCTTCTTAGCTTGAAACTGAGTTTCAACATTTTAAAGCTTTGTCCTTTTTTCCTTCTCATGGGGACCATTAGTGGCTGTGCTTTTAGTATCTGTCTTTTTCTGTATTTGTCTCCCATTCCCTTTTGAGTGGATTACTATACACTCTAAGACTTCAAGACATAGTATGCTGCTAAACTAACCAGTTCTAACATATTTATTCATGAAAATCCTACACTGCTGGCTCCATATCTTAAATAATATTTATGTCTCAATGCATACAGTAAGCAAATCTGACTTGAATTCTTTTTATACCACATAACCTATGAAGTGTAACAACAGATTGTCCAACATTTATTCAGGGTTTTTTGTTGGTTTGGTTGGTTTCTCTGTGGCTTCACCATATTGGCAAACTTGCATAGTGGCACATGGGCTAAACAAATTCTTATCTCTTAACATCCTTCAGGAATTGCTGTGGAAACAATTTTTGTAACCTTCTGCCTATACAAAATGTGTTCTACCAACTACACCCCTTTATTAGAATCATTATATACAAGTTCTTAATAGTCATAGTGGTGCTAGAAGAATTGCACTTCAGCCATAACCTTTCTATGCTCTCTTCAGTGCTTTAGTCTCTTCAGTGTAAGTATCTAAATCCAACCTTCAAAGACACCTCTTTAAAACTTGAGTCATTTTCTATACTACTTAGATCCATATTTCAACTGGATTCCACATTTATTAAACAAAAATGGGCTTGTCCAGTGTTAAGCACTTTATAGTCTCCAGAATTAGTTTCCACAATAATGTACTTTTTTTAAATGTGGGGTTTATTTTGCTTACTAATATTATAGCTTCTTAACATATTATAGGACCAAAATAACCTCTGAAAAGTCATTTACTGACCTCTCCTGAAAACTGATGTCTGTATCAATGTCCTACATTCTTCTCCTTGTTGCAAAGATAATTTTTAAACTACTTTCAAACAGCACTTTGCCTGACTCTAGCAATTATTTATAAAGCTAATCTATTGTTTCACAAAAACTCCTGAACATTCATAAGTAAATATTGCTAATCTATTTAAGATTGTATGTATCTGTCCTTGAAATTCTGTCTCTCATTTGTAACCTACTTAATTGTTAGGTGTAGCCTTCATATTTTTAGAGAAAAAAAAGATGGGTTTTAAGTTATATTTTGTATATGAGTTAACTAATTTGAATCATATAGGAATTATAAGTATTTAAGTAGCTGCATCAACATCACTGCAACTGCTTTTAAGGCAATCACCTTAAGATTAGAGCCTTTCAAGTATCCTTGTGTATGTTATTCACAGTTGCTCTTCTGAGATGTTCACATGATGGAATGAAAGTCACTTAATTATCCTACAATTTGATTATACTGGCCACTATATTAATGAAAAAGCAACAAGTTTATCAATGTTTCAGTGATGTCTGTGCTAGCAGAAACCACACCATGTAACAATATTCTGCACTTTCAAACAACTCAGTGATACCATATTAGATAGGATCTGTGAAGGGATATTTTGGGAGTAACACTTCTGTAGTTGCAGAAGCCACATCACTGGTTAACGTTGCACTATATAAAACATTATTAGCCACAAAAGATTCTGCTGTAATAGTGCAATTGTGTGTACTTTTACTCAGTATAAATCTTTCTTACTTTGGTGGACCTCTGTTTAGAATTGCAGTTTGAAACTGTTAGTCTTTCAGGTACCACTGGACTCTGGTGTATACTCCAAAACAGAAAAGGAAGCAATCATGAAAAAAAAGTGCAAGAAACATTAATTGTGGCACATTGAAACTCTCCTCTCATTTTTACATGATTATTTGCCTTGATTGGAGTTTTCATTTTCTAATTGTACCTCATTTTATAAAACTTTAACTTCACAGAAGACAAAAAATATTTTAGATTCTGGTATGCATGTCATTAATACTACTAAGCACAAATTATAGAAATCCACGCATTAAAGAATAGATGCAGTCTTTACTGCCAGAAGTATCAGCCAGGTAGAGGTTTCTCCATTTATGGTGATAGTGGTGAGTCAGAGAACCAATGGCACTCTACATATCTCCCTAGAAGTCCCACTGAGCTTGGTGGATTTTATTGAGTAAACTGTGTACACTCTTAACTGGGAATATTTCTTGGTGGATGTCACTTCTGCCAGGTGAAAATATTTGTCCTTGTAGTCCAATTGTTTTGTGCTGTGATTGACAGTGTCTGCCCAAGATTTCAGACAGAAATCTTTTCCATTACCTGCTATTTTATCTTTAAAACAAAGACAAACTAAGCCAGATTCCTTCTGCATCCATTGATACATTACCTCATTCAGTGATGGCACATCTGTCTTCTGTGAATATTTCTAGGACTGCCTTGTAAGGAATTTATAAAAAACACAGATTGCCAGTAAATCCATGTCACCAGCTTCAGACTCCCACTACGTAATTTATGTGCTAAGCCATCATCTGCTTTGCTGGGTTTTAATTTAGTGTTCCGGGACTCCAGCCTTTTTGCTTTGTAAATTATAGTTAAAGCCACCATGGCTCAGTATAATTCTATTTGTTTGTGCATTTATTAAAGATATTTTATACTGCTTCAATATCAAGTGGCTCATAGTAATTTAATACACAATAAAACAATAATCATACAAATAATATTAATTATATAGTGTTATTAATATTAAATATAATCCTGACATTTAATACATACTAACATAATGAAATAATAATTATAGTAATAAAACCAGAGTACTGTAAATCATCTGAACTTAAAAAACTCATTGCATACCGAATTAACTTTACCCACTCACACCTCAGTTCCCAAACACTCTCTGAAAGAGTCAGGTCTTCAATACCTTTCTAATGCCAGGGCATGGATCTTAAGTCTAGGGAGCTGGCATTCCACAAAGGGGAAGCTCCTATAGAGAACAATCACCTCTCTTTGTATCTTATGAGGAGCAGGGACACTCAGCAAGCAGTCTCTACAGGCACAACTTGCCAGACTGATTCTCTTTGGAGTAGGCAGTATCAGAGGTAGCCAGGTGCCAAGCCATGTAGGACTTCAAATGTACAGTAGTCACCAGCACTGTGAATTGCACCTGGAACCAACCAGCAGCCAACTGGTGTTATGTGAAAATAGTGGGTTGCCTCAGTTTAGATGTGGACTGCTGCATTTTGCACTAATTTCAGCTTCCAGATGTCTTCAAAGGCAGTCCCATATAGAGCACGTTGGAATAGCCCACTTGTGAGGTGATAAGGGAGTGAGTGACTTTGGCCAGGGTCTACTGGTTTAGGCACCCAGCCAATAAATAGCATGAACCTAGAGAGGAAACAGTTTCTGACAAACTGAAATGGAGAGATCTGCACTGCTGGTGAAGCTGGGATGAGGTGACCATTCTAACTTCACCACTATAGCCAGTGCTATGAATATTGTCACGGGCAATTCAAGAAATCCAGATGGACAAATGTGAGTTTTATACATGTAAATTTTCTGCACAGAAGATTCCAGTACACTCTAAACTTTCCATTTTATTGCTGCTGCTTTTAGGAGTGAATAGCAGTGATATCATCAGAGGGACAGAGGCAATTTTTGACTCTTTTGAGTGGGCTTTTTTTTTTTTTAAAGTAAAGTAGGTGTTTTAAGATTACTGGAAACTTAAGATCCACAGTTTGTCAAGCTACTCTTTTTTCAAAAAACCAAATCACATGATGGATCATTGCCCACCCCTGCCAATAGTTTCTATTTAAAAAGCTTGTAAGTAGCAATCTATATGCTGTACATGAGGGTTGAGTTGAATGTATTCATGGCACATCAGGAAATGTCTCTTTCAATGTGCATTCAGCATCTGTGCAGATGAAAATATGGAAACCTGAATCCAGAGAGGGACAGGACAGCCCAAATCTATTCAAGCACATTTCATACAGATTGCCCCCAAACCATTTTCTAACAGGACAAGGTGACTGCCTCTATGTCTCTAGTTATAGGCTTGGTAGCATTTTCAAAACTAGATAAGGAACCCAAAATCAGGTGGAACCCTAAACAATACTTGGAGAAAAGTGCACTCTTACTTAGGAAGCTTGGGGATAAATGTTCGGCCCCTCTTTGCTCCTTTTCCCATTTAGGCTCTTCCCCTTCAGTGCCCTCGAAAGACAAAGGTGAGGACAGCAGCTTCACCGGTAGCTCTTGAGCATGCGCGCGCCCCTCGGGCAGGCTACCTAATAGAGAGTAAAGAATGTGACCCTTGGGGCTGGGCAAGTCTTAGTCTTAATCCCACACGGAGCGCGGGGAAGACAGAGTCGCCATTGCGGGAGGGCGAGCCGGCCGCGAGCTCGGGCGCTCTTAGCAGAGAGGAGGCATACCTGTCACCTGCAGCCGGTCAGTCTTTCTCCTGAGGAGGTCAGCATGGCAGAGGCGCAGGGGTCGCTTGAACCGCCAGCTCCGGCCGAGAATGATGAAGAAGCGCTAAAGAAAGGCGGGGACGAAAATGGAGCGCCAGTGGACGCAGACGAAGAGGAGAGGAAGCAGCGCCCTGCCTGCACCGCCGAGGAGGGCGACCCTCTGAAAGAAGCATCTGAAGAGAAAGCCGGGGAGGAAGAAGGTGGGAGCCACGGGGCGAGTCCTCTGAGCCAAAGCAGCGGAGAGACCACCCCAAAGACCGAGGACGAGGACCAGGCGAATTCAGCGGGGCGACCTGCGGAGGAAGTTGGATCCGCAGACAATCCGAGTGCAGAAGGAACAGCCAGCTCCGAAAACCCCGAGGAAAAGTCTGAAAGCAACACCTGTGCCGAGGCTACTGTCCCCGAGCAGCCTCCGCAGCCAGCAGGAGAAGCGGCCGGGGGCCGAAGGGCAAGCCAAGCCGAGGCAGGCGACGCAGAAGAAGACCCCGAAGGAGAGGAGCCCGCGGAGGAGAAGAGCGCAGCTGAGCAAGAGGGGCTGCAAATCCCAGGAGAGGAAGAGTGCGCCGGGGATGAGAGAGAGGAAGACACCGCGGAGAAACGCTCCGAAAAAGTATCTCCTGCAGTTGCTGAAGGAGGAGGACAAGAAGAGGACGAGGCAGATGGTGACATCCAACTGGACGAGCAGCTGCCGCCAGCGGAGAGGTCAGCGCCGACCGGAGAGGAGACTCCGCGGGGAGACAGCCCTCCCAGCGATACCCCCGTTGAAGAAACTCCGGCAGCAGAGGAGAACCTCGCCGCGGAAGAGGCAGAAGTAAACGAGGAAACCCAAGCAGCGGAAGATGCCAGTACAGGGGAAGCTGGCGCCCAGGACAATCCTGAGGCGAGCGCCGAGGAAGAGGAGGAGCAGGAGCAGGAGCAGGAGCAGGAGCAGGAGCAGGAGCAGGAGCCGCAGTCCGCGGATTCTGGAGCGACGGGATCTCCGGGAGAGGCTGATGAACGCAGCGGCCACATACAGCAGGATGAACCTGTCGACAGATCCCACAAAGGGGCTGAAGAAGTAGATGCTTTGGGGCTGAATGGCATGCAAGGAAGGGAAGAGGAAGAAGCGGCTGTAGAAGGGGAGCAGGCAGTCCCCCTCGATGCGCCTGAGGAAGAGAGACAGGAACATGAGATTTCTCTCTTCGTAAAGGTAAGGTTGCTAGATCAGCATCTGGGTCGTTAGCGGCTGCAGAATGTTGTTCTCAAGCCGGCAGCTCCTAGAATCAGGAATAATGAAAATGGTAATATTGTAGGTTGTTGCTTTTTAATGAAGCTACTTGAATAAGCCACAACTTTGGGCCAATTGGATAACTGTAGACTTTGGACTTAGAGAACCTTTCTTTAGTTAGTATTTTTTTCCCCCTTCAAAATGCATTACGTTGCTGGTTCTATACAGTAACTCATTCTATTGAATGGGAATCTGTATACCTGCCCTGACATTATATACTGATGGCTCCAGTGCTTTAGAGATCACATCTAAAGCTTTGATTACAAATTTGTGCTGGGGTTAATTTAGAATATCCACGGCGCTTTGGTAGGGGGGACACAATCAACTTACTATTTAGTGAATTAAATATAGAGATTTGAAATATGTGAGAAACTAAACACTGTATAGTTATTTGGACTGTGCCCACTTTCCCAGTAAGATTGTGAGAGCTTTCATTGCTGGCTTTGAATTTGGGGGTGGGGGGAGGGAAGTGTAGCAAACTTGGGACCAAATTCTACTGCTGAGCTTCAGAAAGATCTATGGTTGATAACAGTTTTTAGTTTATTGTTATTGCTGATAATAGTTTTGTTTTTCTAAAGTATCAATAACTGTCATTTTGAATCCCAAAGAATACTTTTAGAAATAAGTTGAGTTGAAAAAAACCCTAGAAGTGTACATCAGAATGTTCACGAGAAACAGTAGAAAAAAAATTATAAGAGATGTGTAATGTGTTTATGTTGTGAGAGAAATGGCATAAACATGGGGTGTTTATCTACATATCATGTTTTCCAATCAATATTTTCCAATCTGGTATCTTCAAAATGTATTCAGAGTAAAACTTCTAGAATTGCCAGCCAGCAATACATATGGAGAACAGACAGAGAAAGCATCAGATTCTTGAAGGCTGCAATAAAAATCTGTTCTTTTTTTAATCAACTTGATAGTTTGGGACATATGTTCATGGTAACATGAAAATCTTATTTATTCTTGCATGGAGTATGCAATCTATTAAATAGCAGAAAAGTAGTGGAAAATATGAGAAGCTTTAACCCAAAGATTGTCAGATTTATATTATTTTTGATGTTACAGTTTACAAATGTGTAGATGATTCAGATGGGTGGCAAACCATGCAGAGTGTAAAAGCATGGGCATGGTGTTCACTAGAGAGCTTTACAGAAGAATGACATTTCACGTGTTTTTGTGAATATTATTTAGATTGTTTTATCCAGCCATGAGAATATTATCTAGACTAGAGTCTGCTACTAAGATTAACATAAGAAGAGTGAGAAAACTTTTCAGTGATTTTTCATAATCAACTCCTATTTTAATATAGCTACTATATACTCTGGACTGAACAGTAATTGTAAACTAACAGTAACTAACCTCTCTCATGGCACCTGTCTTTGGAACAGCGTCCCCTTGATATATGGACCCCGCTGGCCTTCCTGAAGGCCATAAAGACCTGGATATTGCCTTGGGCACTGGGACCAGGGTGCTAATGGAGCTCTGATGTGGGTGCAGGTTTAGGGGCCTCAATTGCTACTTCTTTTAAGCTATTTTTTAACATCATGGATTGTGATTGTTGCTTTTATCTGTTTGTCACCCAGAGTGCTTTGGTAGGCAGGTTAAATAAATAAATACATGCATACTTACATACAATAATTCAGAAGAAATTTTTTGGACCACATGCAAGCACAGCACCTGTCTGCTCTTCAATAAAGTGCTCTATTTTTTTTTCAGGCTGCTGATAAAAAGTACTGCTGCTTTAAAAGTTTCATTAACTTTAATGAGATGGCTTCCTAAAGCATTGGTCTCTTTGTTTTGGCTCATTGAAAACATGAAAAAAGTTGGGTGTTTAGTGAACAGTAGTTAGGTGCTGCACATGCATAAAGTCTGAAGCATTTTTTTTTTCTGAATCATTTTCTCAAGGGCAGGTACAGCTGCGATGACTAACATTTCAATTTAGAGGCATAAATTACTTTGCTTCAAGTAAAGAAATATTTAAAGACTTGTAACAGTTTACAGTAGGAAAATGATTGTGCTAAGTATATATAACAACTCAAGGTTCGTAACCTAAGGATAAGGCCTTCCTTTCTGATTGTGTGACCACCTGAAAGTGAATGATGGTAAAGATAGGCATGGCATATTGACCATAAAAGTGCTGGGTCCAGAATTTCATTCAACAAAAAGCTTTCTTGTTGTTTTGTAACTGTAGAATCACATTTCCTGCTGACAAAAATTCAGATCCATATGTACTCTACTTGTTTGAAGAGTAAATCTTATGCTTGCATTTAAATTGGCACATATATTACTGTTAGTTCCCCAGGAAGGATCTGGATCAGCTGTTTCCACAGAACATTCCATAAAAATATATTCTTATGTATTCTTGTTCTTGAAAATTGCAGTTAAAGTATTAGGCAAATATATATACAAATTACTCCAATATGAGAAGCGTGTGCTTCATAATTGGATGTGAGTCCTTGTCTGTGAAGTTGGGCTTTATGGATCAGATGGGATTGCTACTTTTGTACCAGCCTCCATGCTGCATAGATGCTTCCCTGCCTGAGATCTTCAGTGCTGTGGCCAAGTTGGTGGTTCTGTTCCCCAGACGTATTGTTCTAGGAGACTTCAGCCTGCCCAATTTGAGGTGGTTTGGGATTTCGTGGCCTGATTCACTCAGGGGGTCAAATACTGGATCTAGTTTTTGTCTCAGGGCAGTGGCAAGGTTATCTGGAGTTGGGGGATGTTACCATCAGTCCCTGTCATGGACAGATCACTCGAAGTTCTCTGTGGCTGCTTGTGCTGCGGGGAGGAAAAACCTATTCAACATGTCCACTCCAGATGCCTCATGGATCTGTATAGGTTTCAGAGGGAGCTTAAGGTTGCTCAGCTCAATTGAGACCTTGTTATTGCTTGGAATATGAGAGTGATGGTTGCTTGGATCCATCTGGACTGTCAGTGTGAATGGATCCTGGAGGTTCCCAGGTTTTCAGAGGAATTTCAGAGGTTAGATGGCAGAAATGATGCCTAGAGCACTGCTGAAAGAAAACAAAGAACAAATCTAACTGAACACAGGTAAGAATCTTTCTTAAGATGTCCTTGTGGTGATAAAAATGGCAAAACTTGCTTATTTTTCTGCTCTTATTGCATTTGCAGATAATCTGCTAGCAGTCCTGTTTAGGGTGGCTTGATCCCTCTTGGGTAAACCTTTAGGGGGTCACTTTGAAGACTATTCTAGGTATTTATTGGATAAAATCACTCAGATCTGCTCAGAGCTAGACTCTGGCTCTGTAGGTCCTATGGAACATCTACATGAAGCTATTAGATGAGGTCATTTGTCAGCAAGGGGTTAAATATCATCAATACGCTGATGATATTTAATTGTACATTTGCCTCTGGCCATCCAAGTGATACCATCAAGGTACTCTCCCAGTGCCTAGAGGCTGTGGGGCTGGATAGAACTGAGCCAATGGACGCCATCATTCTAGATGTAAGCCACATCAATTTTATGGTTAACCTCTCGCAAATAATAAGCCTGTATTAGAGAATGCAAAAAATCCCAACAGAAAATGTGGGGCTCCATAATGCCGCTTAGGAAAAGCTGGAATTATGAATGCGTTTCATAACCTTCATGTGACTATGGTATTTTAAGCTCCTTGGGCTGCTTCCTATAGCATTACTTATTTAGTTGTTCGTTTGTTTGTTAAAATAAAGTGATTTTTTCCCAATTTGCATATGCATAGAATATCTGATCATTTATGTAATTATCTGCCAACATTTCTTTTCAATTATAATTTGTTAAAAATTATTTGTTATGTATTTGAAATTGAGAATTTAAATACAGATTTATTTATTTATTTATAATTTATACTGAATTCACATTTAAACTGGAAGTTAAGTTCCATTGGAGAGAGCCAGTTTGGTGTAGTGGTTTAGGCACTGGACTAGAAATGGGAGACCATGAGTTCTTAGTACCCACCTTAGGCACAAAGCCAGCTGGGTGATCTTGGGCCAGTCATTCTCTCTCAGCCATAGGAAGCAGGCAATGGCAAACCACTTCCAAAATCTTGCCAAGAAAACTGCAGGGACTTGTCCAGGCAGTCACCAGGAGTCAATAATGACTCAAAGGCACCAAAAAAAAAAAAAAAAAAAGGTTTTTTTGAAGTCAATAAAGTTTTGGATTTATTTTAAAAAAATTTTTTTTTCCCCCTCTTTTATTTAACAAAATTGATTT